ACCCCCCTCCCAACAAGAAATTTGAGATCGGAGACGCCGGTATCGCCAAGCGCCGGAATCGTGAACGGCTGCTGGCGCCTGGTTTGAACGTCAGTTAATAGCTGGCAGCACATAGTGCCACTTTCCACTTTCTCAACCGTGCAGGTAGTGTAGGAAGTGTAGGTGCATTGCAGAGCCGTGGTGCGTTGCTGTACCCTCTATCAAAGATGTTTTGTCTGTTTGGTCTCCTAGCGTTTGTTGCAGTCGGTTTAGTCTGTTAAGCCTATTCGTCCGCGTTGGTCTCGCAATCGTACTCCGTTCACTGTGTGCACATGGTTTGCGGAAGTCGTCCACCATGAGCGCAAAGAGGACTTCATACACGATGAAGTTCAATAGAACGGTTATTTCTTACGTGGAAGACAACGGAAACCATGGTGCTGCTGAACAGTTCGGAGTGGACAGAGCATGTGTGATTCGGTAGAGGAGACAGCGGGATCGGATTTTCAAGGGCACCGCAACCCGCAAAAAGTTATTGGGACCGCGCAGGGGCCGGCACCGAAGCAGCGAGAAGGAGCTCTGTGGCGGCTTTGCCGTCACGGCTGATTCCATACAAAGGAAGGCTATGGAAATCGCCCCACGGATGCAAATTCCCTGTTCGGCATTCCGCGCAAGCCGAGGCTGGGTGGAGCGGATGATGAAGAGGAACCACCATCACCCCTACCCTGCCCATCCTCAGGGATCCCGACGACTGGCAGTCATGGTCTGCAATTCCTTCGCCGGAGGAACGTAAGAATTGGCCAGGAGATTAGGACATTCGGCGAACTCATAAGGGTTTTGGCATGCTTGTGCATGGCAGTGCCTGTGTTGACCATGCCTCGTTTTTCGCCTCTGTTCATGCTGCCCTTTACGACATTGGGTATAACCCGAAACTCATTGCTATGCTTCAGCATTTGTGGATGAACTTCAGGTCAGCCAGACCCAGTATGAAAAGGTGGTGGAGAGGAAAATCAGAAGCGTGCCACACCTAGTGCAGAATCCGTCAGAGTATCATCTGTCGTTCAATGTCTGCGCCGATGCCGATGGGTCGCAGCTGGAGCCCGCCCTTGTCGTGGCCAATTACATCATGCGCCATATGCAGGGGATCGTCAACTCCAGGCATGTCTAAGCCCGTAAAGGTAGTCGTAAGGCCTGACTAGCCCTGACATGGGCCTGGACTCCCATTCCCAGATAAACCATGGCTGGCATCCACCGTGCATCTGGCTTCAGAAGCAAATATGCCTTTGAGGTTGTTCGGGGAACCATTTTGAGGAATCAATGAATGCACAAAGCTCCACCCGATGGTACAACCATCCTACACAGTTGCGTTCTAAATACCACGATTAAGTTGAGTTACAAATATACCACAACAAAGCAATAAAGCCAGGGACAACCAGCAATTCTTCCAGGCTGAATCATCTCAACATTCGGACTCTTGGAACCAAGATGGCGACTCAAATGCTGACCTGTCTGCCATGACTTCTCAAAGTCGGAAGGCTGGCCCCAGTGGATCCGTCGGTTGGAAAGATTTCAGATGGTCAATGGAAGAAAAACCAATGTAGAAGTGAACGATATAATTTACTGTATGGGAGATAAAGCTGAATATATCTCGCTCTCGTTCAGCCTAACCACCAATCAAATGAAACAGTATGAAATGGTATACAAGGCAGTCCATGAGCTCTTCATGGGTCAGCAAAACCCGGGGCCGCTTGCCAGTACGGTCAGAGACCCAAACTGAGACAGTTTCGGCTGAGCGGTACTCTCACCGAGACCGAGCCACTTGATTAAAACGAGACTAAGACTGGCATTGGAGACTGGAACCGAGGTTCTGTCTCAGCTCGGATCTCATACCACGAGACAGCCCTGGAGAAGGCTCACTAGCAGTTACTAGACAGACCTGAAGAAGGCTATCAAGCACAGGAGATGACGAAGAACACACTGTGTTTCCAGTCTTTCTGTTGAAAAATGAGCGAACAACAGCCCGGCTCCCAGCCGGAGCCTCCGAGAGTGGCCCTTCCCGGGAAACATACTTTCCCGAACGGGGACCGAGGAGGGCCTCGCGGCAAGAACATTTTTTCGGCCGCGGGCCGCAGCGAGAGCAACGATACGGGACCTGCCCGGGCCAACACCACCCAGGTCCGTCGGCCAACTGTAATGGCTAAGGAGGCCACCGGGATCGGGTCCGGAGGCCGCTGGAACGAGCGGCTCTTGTATTGGCTCCATCAGTGGGTGCGCGACGAGACAGGGCCTGCCCGGCTGCCGCCACCCATCAGCAGATTGCGGCAGTCATGGGGGCCACCGGGATCGGGTTCAGGGGTGGACCGGACCAGCGGCTCCTCTCGCGGCTCCATTGGCGGATGCGACCGCAGCGGCCTTGGACGACACCGCTCTTGGATCGGCGGCCACCGTGCCTGCCACCGGCGGCACACTCAGGTCGGCTCGCCTCATTGCCACGTGTCGTAGCGGAAGTGGTCTGAGCACCGATACCCGCGGCCAGGGATGCCGTCGAGGGTAGTGCTCCTGGTGTTCTTGGGCCGCACCATGGAAGATGAGGACCGGAGCCCGGTCCCGGTGACCTCATCGAGCTCCAACCCCGCCTCGGCCGACCTTCACACTACCCTCGACCAGCACAGCGCCTTGGAGGCAGTGCTGGCCTACATGGCCACGAAGTCAGGGTTCGCGGCGGCCGTGCTGGAGGGGAGCCTGCTTCAAATCCCGGTGACGGCGGCAGTGCCGGTGAAGACTGGGGACGCCTCATCCCCAGTCTTCACCGGCTCCCCTCCGTGCTGGAGGGGAGCCGGAGCATCTCTCAGGCTGCCTGGGCAGTTTTTCGACCAAGTGCAAGACCGACTGCCAGAACCAACAAACTATGTCAACCAAGTGCGTGCAATGATGGACAGCCTTCGGCCAGAGGCCACCAGGACACCAAACAGCAGCCGCCCTCATGTCAGCGAGAACCTGACACATTGCACGCACGTTTTTGTCAGGCACGGTCCCATCACACGTTCACTTCAGGCCCCCTATGCTGGTCCTTTCCGCGTGCTAAAACGCAGACCAAAACACATCACACTCCAGATTAGAGGCCAAGAGGAGGTGATTTGTTTGGACCGTCTCAAGCCTGCCCACATCAAGACATCACCCCCCAGGCCCATGACGACGGAACTTGCCACAAACGTCGAAGAAGGCCACCACAACAAAACACTCTCACCTTCCCCATTCCCCGCTCCCAGACCCGCAGCTGTAACAGACCCCCGGGGCAAGCAGGGCTCTCTGACGGCTGCTCTAAATCCCCTTCCGGGATGAACGACGCGTTAGGGCCGCAGAGTTCGCTGGCTGGATCGGCTCGTTCTCAACGAAGCACAACGTTTGACTGCTCACAGCGGCTACGTTGGGCTTCAATGGAAACCGAATTGACACTACTTACTACACTGCAGAAAAGGAGTCCGAAGCTTTGAAAGAAGCTGAAGAAAAGAAGCGCCATTTGGTGTCACACTCCGTGAGTCAGCGGAAGTTCAACCTGCTCAAGGTCGATCCGGAGAGAACCGAAATTGAGGGCGGAATGGGGATCATAATTGTGAGCATGCAAGTACTAAACGCTTCCTTTTAGCGTACGAACTGCAAAGAGTGTGGTGCGAACATCGTCACCCTGGAGAAACACGGGTCCGGCTACAGCTTGGCGCACAGGCTCATACTGGTGTGCTCAATGTGCCAGGTGCGCGAGCACCGCTTTTCATCGCCAAAGGTGTCCGGCACCAACAAGATTACACCTTTTGAGGTGAAAATTAGGGACATGCAGGTAATGCAAAGCATCGGGAAGGGGTCGGCTGCCCTCACCGACTTTTGGGCGTGCATGATCGTGTCTCACCGGGGCCTCCACCACAAAACTTTCAATGGCCACATGGACAAGATGTTACAAGCTGCTGAGGCAGCTGTTGCAGCCAGCAAAAATGAAAGTTCTGAGGTAATCAGGAGCCTTTACAAAGACGTCATGAACCCTCCAGGCAATATTAACTAGGCACTTTTCAAAATGGCAGCGCAAGTCGGTCTGCTGTCAACTCAGCAAGCCCTCATTGCTGAGGTGAAGAAATATCCATGGCTTTGGGGCGCCCGAAGGCCGGAATACCGGTTGCCAAACGTAAAGGAGAACTCCTGGAATGCCATGAATGCCATCAGGGCCTCTCTGAATAAGTTTTGTCGCATTCTTCTGTTCTCTTTTACATCGCACGTTAATGAAAATGTGTACGGGAAGCTAAAATTCATCTCGGGTGTGTATTGGGTGTATTCTGAGCTGCGGTACAAGAGCGGAAATGAGCTATATCGCCCGATTTTCATACTACACACAGTCCGAGTGTGTAAAAAAATCGCAGTTCGACCAACGTGCACTCGCAACTCAGTCAGCCGGAAAATGCTGGCACCAGAAGTTGCAACAATTATGGATATACTTGTAGACCCTGAGTTGGAGGAAAATAAAAAAACGGACGAAAACAACAAAATCTCAAATGCAGCTGAATTCCTCACCAGCTCGCCTGCACTTTATGACTGCTAACAATTATGAAAGCTCTACGTTTTGTAGTACATCCCATCATGCGGTGCAAGCGTAGCAAGCTGTCACCCACGCGCTTGAAAATATGTTTGGTTTTGGGGTGAAACGTGGCGTAAAGCTTTATTTGAGATTAGTTAGTCAAAAAAACATCAAAGTATTTCTTTTTCAAGTTTTACTAACAAGTTCTTAAGCATTGGTATGCAACTCGAGTGGCTGTTAATAAAGGTTGTGCCATACCAAGTGAAATGGTTGTGCAACACCAACTGAAATTTCATATGTTGAATTGAAATCTCCATTGTTGGGGATTGACGTGAGCCGTGCACTTCCTGTCATTCCCCTTAGCACACTATCTTACATGCTGAAAAATATTTGGCATTCTATTACAGAAATGGATCCTAGAGACTGCATACATGTGGCACAAAATATGAGAGGTACGGCAGGGAATCGAGAACCAGCTGTGGCCGGAGTGGTGCTGGGCAAGATGATGTGCAGCAGCCCAGCTGAGAGCTCTACCCGTACCCGCAATTTTTAGCTGGACAGATATGTTGCAGAGGGTACTGTTTGTTCTGCACAAAGCTTTATTGGCAACTATGAACAGAATTTATTTGTTTTCATGCAATACGCTGTTTTCCACTATAACCAAGGCCCGCAAGACGGTTGGCAGCACTGGGCCTGCCACAGGGGTAGTGAAGATATCAAGGGGTATGTGAAATAGCAGACAACATTGACTTTTAACGAAGTATGTTACTCTCAATTTAGAAACCAAAGAACATTTAGGCACTGGTGCGTGACTGGTTCCATGAATTTTGTGCTCATTCATATTCAACATGCAGATCTCCTCATGAAGACCTACACTCCATATAGGGGAAGTGGCATTCAAGACGTGACAGAGGACAGTTGCGAAGCCCCCCTAGATGACGTAAGTGCATTGTCTTGAAGCACCGTTTTAAGTGCAGTGCGGCAATGTGCCTGTTTTCTTTGTAGGACTCCCTCGACCATAGCCTGCAGCCAACAGACACCTGCCAGATGTTGCTGACGCTGGAGGGGGATGGCCAGCTGCCCAGCACATCTCGGCTGGAGCCGACTCATCCGGTGTCACCACCTCAAGTGGCTCCAGTGGCAGCACCGACGCAGGCTACGGTTTCACCTGCTGTGCTTCCAGACCCACCTTCAAGAAAGCCAGGCCACAAGGCAACCGCCTCAGAGCGTGATGCCAGAGAGTATGCATCACTGTGCAAGATTCTCAGTGAGTCAACAAGATAAATGGCCAAGACTTGCGACAGGCCACACATTGAATCCTCGAGCCCAGACGTGGCACTAGGGCTTTATTTTGCCAATGAGCTGGCGGCCCTTCCACCACAATTGAAGTGCCTTTGTAAGCATGAAGTGATGAAGGTCTTTCATGAATTTGAGAAAAAGAACCTAGCGGAAAAAGGCCTTCTGTCTTTAGATTAGTGTAGGAGATGACATTTTCGACAAGAAGGTTTGCCTATACAGTCTCGTCAATATGGTCACCTCCGTTCCCCAGGAAAATCGTCCAATATAACAAATCAGTCTAGAATGCATGCAAATATTAAATAACAAGCGTAGACAAAAAAGGCATGGTTTATTTAACCACAAATTTATGGGATGTAAGTCTTTACTGTTACTCTTGACCCACTTTTCTGTCCATAAAGCGTGCGCCAACAATCTCACAAAAGCAAAGCCAAGTTTTTTTGTTTGTTTTTTGGAAGGGGGAAACTCTACTCTTTAACATAGTGCACATGTCCAGAAGTCTTCTCAGTTTCGAATTTGCATATTTCTTTTTTTTAGCTGAGCTAAAAGCTGCATTTGCTTATGTTTCACATTCGCCATGGCCTCTTACCATTTCGCTTCTCACCAGATATCATCTTTCGCACCTTCTAAAGGCGCATTTACACCGGCAATGCGATCTAGTCGCCCGATGTTTAGATGTTCACACCGGCGCGTGCGATGAGCGAATTGCTTCATGGTTGCTTCTTGAAAACTTTCGCCTGATCTCGCTCTTAACAATATTTCTCGGAAGCCGTCGCCAGTTCTGCTGTTCCTGCCATCCCGTTTTTCGTTTTCGTTTCCGCGCATCGGTTCCTCTTGCGGTCATGGATCTTTTTGACCGGCTGAGCAAAGAGGAGGAAGTTGTGGCAATCCTAGCTTCTGTGTATGCGCCCCAGCCTGCGTTCACGGGAAGTCGCTAACCACGCAGGTCGACTCCTTACCAAGCTCCGAGTGTGGGACAATGAGTATTACCGCGAGCTTTTCTCTTTACTTCGTGTTAACTACCTGTCACATGCTTATATTCATATTTTCTCTTAGCTTCCTTAGAATGCCGCCGCAGGCGTTCGACACCCTCCTAGGGCTGTTGACTGAAAGAATTGCGAAAAAGGACACCAACTACCAAAAGGCGATTTCTCCGACTGATCGTTTGGCTTTGACCTCCGAGATAAGGCATCAATACAAACAAAAAAAATTACTTTAGCAGCTATATGAGAGCTGATGTGTGGCAGAAACAAGCTGCTGCATCTGTGCCACAAGCGCTCAGTAATGTGTTTCCCCTGTTGCCTTTTGCGCCCCTTTACAGCAGCCTTCACGAAGAAGGACACATGATAATACTCTGTCTTTATTACGGGTAAAGCTGTCCCGTATACGTAGGAACACGTTTCTGGTGTTGGTATTTCTGGTCCCATGTGAGAACGTTATCGTTCTCACATGGGAACCTTATCTATAGCTGCCTGAAGTGAAAAGCTGGACTGTTTTGTTAATATCACCAGAATTAGGACTTGCACAATGATTTTCCCTCTCGGCTTTTCTAACACAGTGCAGTACACTTTTTGTGGATCTACATTATTACACAATGTGTGAATAGCGTAGACAACATTTGGATGTTCCCTTCACAAACTTGAACAAATACAACTGCTTTTCAATGTGGCAATAATTGCTTATCCACTGACTCCCACCAGCAATAATTACTGTATACAGGGTTTAGTGAGTCAGGTTATCAACTGCTTGTCACAAGTGTTACATCTGCCTTGGCAGGTTCCTTGTAGCCAGCCTCACGTTAAGGATGGTGAACTTACTTCCTGGTGGGCAGATCGACTGCATGCCGCGTGGTGTCCGATGTCTGCGATGCTCGATGGGATATACTTCAGCCCGTGCACCTGATCTGCCCGCAGACAGCTGAGGAATGGCTCAGGGTATGTTACAAGGTCTTGTTACTATCACGAGCCTAAAAGCATTGAGTGTATTTGACCTCTGCAGACCAACAAGAGATGCTTAAAGTGGAGCAGTAAAAGGTGACTGTTATGGAGTGTACAGTCATGGACAACATAAGTTGAAACGACCGAGCAAAGACAGATACCAGCTGGCCCTGCCCTCAGACCAGGGCACAAGAAAAAACATGTAAACCAGAGTGCTGCTTAAATCAATGTGATCATGCAACGGATGTGATTTAGCTGGTGCCAATATTACATGCCAATTTACAACTATATTAGCGGAAAGCACGAGCAACCTCGGTGGCTCCGAGGCAAAGCGCCGGCCTACGGATCCCCAGGTGGCAGGTTCGAACCCTGGCCGATGTGCCCGCAATCTGACTGACGCTTATTGCAGAGAAGGCGCCGTGTAACTGAGCTTTCGGTAGCACATCAAAAGATCCCCAGGTGGTCCAAATTAATCCTCAGTACTCCGCTGGGGCATGCCAGATGCCCGTCACTGGTTTAGCTTGTAAAACCCTCAAATTTGACTTTGGAAAGCATGGGTAAGTCATAATAAGAAATGCAAGGCGCATCAAACTAAACTCCAAACACATTGGAGGAACATGCTGAATCGAAATGGCGCATCACTCTTGTCCGTGCTCGCCGTGACTGTACTAAGGCACAACTGTAAAGGAGCATTTCTTTTACAGTTATTTGATGTTGGAGAAGGCCAAAGTGTTTGCTAGCCAACCAAGTGTATGTGGTATACTGTAACTGTTCGAATCTGGCATTGGAAAATCTGGAAAACGCACGCAGACCTGCATGGGTGAAAAACAGAAAATGCTTTTTGTGGTCATGCTTACCATTCCAGTGACAATTCGCTTGCATTATTTATTTCTGTAACCTAAGAAAAGAAAAAGAAAACCAGGAGAGACGAGCATGCTTACTATGTATTTTTTGAGAAAGTGAACTGTTTGAAATCTCGTTATACAGGTTGCTTCCGACTTTGAGGAACGTTGGAATTTCCCTCATTGCCTGAAAGCCATTGACGGGAAGCATGTCACCGTGGAATGCCCCCAAAAACCTGGCAGCCTCGATAGAAATTATAAAGGCACGTCAGCAAGTCTATGCTTGCCGTTAGTGACGCACATTATAGGTAAGTACACCTCTCCATTTTGCAACTTTAGGTAAGATCAGTCAGCATCATCCGTACTTATTTATTAAGAGGTTCAGGACAACGATTGTGATGTTTAAAAATTGTGCACTGATTATTTTAAGTTATTCAATTCTTCTGCACCATATGCCTTCAGTGACATTTTGGGCATCCCTGCTAAAAATTTCCATTACATCCAATTGGAATTCCGACAGGTATTAATCGGAACCAATTGGTTTTAGTAAGTTTAAATTGGAAGCACACTGGCCAGTGGGTCTCACCAATTAGAATTATTTTTCCACTTGGAACCGCGATGGGTCCCAAATGGTTCCTGTTGGTTCCCATTGCAGTGTCCAATTTGTTGTCCAGAAACCTAATTGGTACCAATGGAAAAATTACAATTGGAACCTAATGGGAATTTTCAACTGGGATGCGCTGCGATGCCTCCCGGAATGAAAGAGTGTCACCTGCTCAGTGCAAATAGAAGTGACTCCCACGTGCATTTCGAGGGCTACGTTCACTGATCAAGTTAAAGAAAGCGCGTTCACTAAAATAGGACCGCAATCTCCCATGCCTTTCCTGCCAGTGTGCATGATCACACTCGGCCCATTTCTTTTTACTATGCCAGAGGTTTAACAAAACAAAACAGCAAGGATGTGTGGGTCATTTCATGCAGTTCGCAGAGACTAGGGCAAAACAAAAGATAGGCCTCAACATAAACGACAAACTAAAGCAAGTCCTTTTTACTTCCTTATATTTTTGTTTAGGTTTCTGTATGTAGAACTTGGCCATCATGGGAGCGAGAGCGACGGAGGCATATTTTCACGCAGCAAGCTTCAGGAGCGGCTGCTGCAAGGCCAGATGGGCGTGCCACCAGACCAAAACGTTGGGATAGAGGGGACTTGCTTTTTTTGTTGGTGATGAGGCATTTCCACTGAAAATCTACATGATGCGGCCCTTTTCAAGAAAAGGTAAGTGCACTGCATTTTGGAATTTTAATTTCGCTTGAAAGAAGGACCTTATTAAAGACTGAAAGCAACCAAATTGCTGACGCACAGTTTATATTACGAGTGTTGACAATTTGCATTTCATTTTGTATAGACAATTTCATTTCAGTCAAATAACCTTGTTAGAAACATTTTTTGTATAATAAACAGATGTTTATTGCGTGCCTAGACATTCCAAGTATTTTGACTACAAGTTATACCTTAACTGCATGATATAGCATGTATGGTACGTAGCTAAAATCAGCTAACAACTCATTTAAACTTTCATGTAAATTTTTTGCAATCAAATTTTCTTATTTGTATTTGCATCTCCAATAGGAGAGAATTTATATTCATTCAAAATATTTAATCATGAACTCTTAACTTTGTTAGAAACATTTTTTGTATAATAAACAAATGTTTATTGCATGTCTAGACATTCCAAGTAGTTTTACTACAAGTTATACCAACCTTAATTGCATGATGTAGCACGTGTGGTACATAACTAGAATCAGCTGACAACTCATTTAAACTGTCATGTAAATTTTTAGCGATGTAATTTTCTCATTTGTATTTGAGTCTCCAATAGGAGAGAATTTATATCCACTCAAAATATTTGATCATGAAATATAGGGTTAACAAAATAACAGAACATCCCATCCTTCCTCCTCCCCCCCTACCTCCCCCCTCCCTCCCCCCCCCTCCCACCCCTTGCCAAGTTTGTGATGCCAGCTTGTAGCCTTAGCTGCACTTAAATGTACTAGCTCGTGCTGAGAGCAAAGTTCATATGGCTAAGTAACTCTAAATTTTATTTGCCGTTACGTCGGACATAATAATTTTCATTTTCGGTTAGGTTGAACGTAACTTGAAACCTTGGGGTAAAGTTACATGGGGCGTAAATCTAATTCTTATTTCGGGTTCCATCGGACGGACACAACGCTAGGCACTGCGAGAATAATTGCATAAGCACTACCCAGCCGGTACACACGACACAAAGAAATTTAAAGACGCTTCAATACTTTTGGACTATAACGGTTAGTTCAGTGCCCTAAGCTTATTACACTCACTCTGAAGGGTGCAAGCAGTGATGGACCAAACTTTTGCCTAATCTTGTAATTCGGCAAAGCGGAATTTCGGCCAAACTTCTCCGCGAATCCGTCAATGATTCAACGTCATCAAATTTTACGCATGCAGTATAAATCCGGCAAAATACCAAGGTAGCCAGATTGAACAGTCCATGTTCATCTTTTTTTTTTTTTGTGAAGAAAGAGTGGCAGACTGATACTTTACACCAATGTAAAAACACTAGCCGCTGGAGCACCAAAAAGTATGCTTTGCCTGCAAGGTGCGACGATATGTTAATAAGATAAAGACCTAACGCCGAAAACTGGTTTCCTGCAGTCAAGGTTTGGAGGAAACCAGTCCTTGGCATTCAGTTCTTACTTCAAACTCTTTTTTTTTTTTCGTTTTGCAGCCGTCGCATTGTGAAAAAAACATTAACATGCACCTGATCTCACAACACTGCTGTGCTTTTCCCCGTACAGAGTCTGTCTGCTACTGCCACCATCACCATGGCAACGAGACATTGACTGCAAGTCAGCAAGAGACGACACTATTTCCAGAGGCGTCGTTTGCTAAACTCAATGCTCACCAAAAACGGTTTGGGGGGCGCGGCGGCCATCAATCAGCAAAGCAAACGTAGTCACCCCTCGCGCTCGGGAAGTTTCAATCTTGTCTCAGGCTCGAGCTTGTGCCCTTGTTCCAACCGTCAAAGGTTGGAAACTAGGTTACTGTATCAAGGGAAGACTTGAATAGGATGCTGACAACCGAGGTGACTTCTTCCAGTTCTCGGTGTCGATCGTCACGCTGTTTCTTAGCAGATGGCAGTCGGAAAAAGTGTTTCAACGATTTTACGCTGCAAATGATGGGCTCCTAAGTGCCCATAAGCAGACACATTGCGATCGTGGAGGTAGCATAGCAGACGGAATTGATTGTGTGGAAGGGTACGGCTGTGTTGCAAGATTGGGCGACGTAAAATGACATCTTCTTCGGTAGGGTGACGTAAAATGACAGTGATGACGTCGCATTCAATGTTCACAGCGGATTCGCGGGTTGATGAGGCTCATGCCGGGTGCCGGGTCGCCCATGACGGAGGGGCGCGGAGCCGCGGGGCGGCAGTCACCCCGAGGGGCTAGAGGAGTGCGGTAGGTGTGTGTTCGCGGGGAGTGACTTCTCCGGAGGATTTGCAGAACTCTGAACGCCGATGTGTTGTTGTCTGTGTGGCGGTGACGGCTGTTCGCACTCTATCGCTGTGTTGTGGTCGTGGTCATTATTGGTTGTGAAAGTCTAGACTTTTCAGCTGCGATATGTCACTTGACTGGCCTTCCCAAAGAGAAGAACCAAAATCAAGAGATAAGGAATTTTTTTATGACATCCTCATTTAGTTATGATTTCTGTCGCGAGTGATGTACATTTTCACTTTATCAGAGTCGTGCGATTGCCACGATCAATTGAGAGTCACTTTGTATACTTTAGGTTGGTGTGGACTACACACTGAATAAACGTATAACTTCTAATGTAGACAGGTTGCTTCCAGATGCGCATGTGTTCAAGAGACGAAGTACGTCGCTATCATTGCCTAGTTTGGAATCCTCATGAAAGCTCGCAACAGTCACTTGGTGTCCTGCATTGAACAGAATTATTGACTCAGCTTTTAACCAATCTGCTATTTATATGTTCTAGAGCAAGACTTGGTCGGCTTGGCAAACTGTCTTATCGACTCCAGTTTGTGACCACCTCCAGTGCTTCAACTTGGGCAGTCCCGTGCATGAAGACTGCGCTAATCTGCAATCAAGGGACATAATGTTATCCTTCTATGCGCGGGCCTTTGAAAAATTAACTCATTATCGTCTTTACTGTGTTGGGGTTGTGGGGAAGGACGAAGTACCACTACAGTGATCTGAGTGAGAAGAGAAACAACATGCGTTCTTTCAATCGAGGTGCTCGAGAGTGTTTCCAATTGCGTCTATTTTCCAAATTTAGCTGAATTTCATAATTGCAATATTAAATTGTGACCGTGCAATGTCAATAAAATCTCCTGGGTGCTTGTTTTGCACTTGACTGACTACCAGTTTTCGTTTCTACATTTCATGTCGTGTCTCAATAGTCGTTCCTAAGTTTGGTTACTTCTCCTCAACTACTAAGATCCCTCTTTTGTACTTGAAAAAGTAAAGCTACAAAAATATGTTACGTGAAGGGTCCGATTTTCCTTTTTGCTCTGGCCCACTAAAAGAATGCATTAAAATATGATGCTGCAAGCGTATTCTACATAAATAAAACGTAAAGAGGCCACCTAGCTTACTGATATTTGTGCGTCAAATATGCACGCAGTCGATATGTTATGCCGCGGCAGTTTTCTCTAGGACGACACTGTCTTCAGATAAGAACGGCCGTCTGTGTCCGGTGATGGTTTTTAATTTTGACCAAAAAAGTTCATCTTGCTGCCTCAATGCCCAGAAAAATGAAACCCGTCTTTGTTGTAAGAAAAAACAAAGTTGCCTTCAAGGAAAAAAGTCAGAAACACCTCCTCGATCTGAAGCGCTGTCTGTAGGTTTCGCAAAAATGGCATTTCAGGCAACTCTCCCCCAAAATGTGTTGTGGCTTCTGGCCCAGAAATATTTACTGACAAGTTAAGTATGGGGATGATTGACCCAAAGTATTTATCACGACATATCGACGTCGTTATTTTTAAATAAAAAACCGCATAGATAGCACATTGTGCAATACTCCCTAAGTTCTAATTTTTTTTTTTCCTTCGCATTTCTTTAAGCCAGGATTTTCAAACTTTGCCAGCGTGTTGTCCTCTATTAGGCTATAAGTACTGTTGTCCTGGTTAGTGGAAAAGTTAACGAGAAACGCTCAAATGGGGGCATTTTACTAAATATTCCTACCTTTGCAAATCAATTTAAAAAATATGCCATCTTTGATTTCTTCACCTCTTCCAAATGAACGCCAATGATATCTACTAACATGATGTGCAAAAATATGTTGCATTGTTTATGTGTCTTATACATACCCGTAGTTGACAAGTTCATAATTTTTACAGCTTGTAAAAGTGCTCCAAGTGGTCAGATTGACAGCACAGGGGTGGGCGATAATTTCTAAGTGATAATATTTAGCAAGTTATTTTTCTTTGTACAAGATTAAAAAGAATGCGCATGAGCCGGAGCAATCGAGAGATGCTAGCCTGTCGCACGCTTCACAGGGTACGTTTTCAGTAGTCGGCGTGTGGCGTCTCTGTGTATGCCAAGCAAAGGAATCAACCACAGATAGCAGATGTTTATCTCGACGTGTAACCACTGGAGAATGGGGCTGCCAAGAACAATAAGCTTGGACACGTAATCACAAAAGAGATATGATTGTGCTACAATAAAAAGGACGTGAACGGGAAGGAATACAGGATACACGACGTTTCGGGCAGACACCCTTCTTTGTGTAAGAAACAAAAAATTGGTGAGTAACACATGCATAGCCCCCTTTTCTTGTGACGTATATGACCCTTTCCTTGTTCCTCGCCATGTTTCGTATCTATCACTTGAAGGAGGGCGTTCGCCCAAAACGTCGTGTATTCCTTCCCGTCCACGTTTTAGTTAGTGTAGCTGCATCTTTCGTGTTTTTGGTTAATTGGTTACCCAGAGGATAACATCACAAAAAAGGGTGCGTTGATTGGTGGAAAAGGAAGGGAGGCAAAACCGTTGGAGGGCACACCCTATTCGGTCGGAAGATATTCACATCCGTAGCGAAAACCAAAAAAGGGACCTGTAGCTGCGCCCTGATCAGTGATGACACCAGCCACGATTCCGCCCATGCATGCTACGGCCTTGGGAAAATTCACGAGTGGCTTGAAGACGTTGCTCCTTTCTACACACATTTTATGTAAATCAGTGACGGCAGAGAAAGCTAATTCAAGAATAGGTACCAACTTCATGGGCTCGCTAAGACCGAGTACCTGTCAGGCAAGTGGCTAGTTTCCGCTACTGGGAGGCAAGAACGCCTACGATGCAATTGAAGGCCTCGTAAAGCACCATGATGCAACAGTTTACAACCTTCGAGGGCCAGCTACATCAGGTATCAAATGTGCATCAGATATGGTGGACGTCCTCAGCACCAAATTACCGAATCTGGCATTAATTCGCAAGGGCTGACTTTCGGAAGTTCAGTTGAAATGAAAAAAACAGACTGGAATTCCATCCATCCCAAGCCTGGAATTCAATCCTGGCACTGCTGACAGTGTATAGGGTACATGTATCGACCCACTGCGACATGAATTGCTGGTAGCAAGAACGATGCACAAAGTAAAAACAGAAGGAAAGATCTCGCGCGGAGTTTGCACGGGTTTTGGCTCTTTGGTTTGTTTGGGGTTAGTTTTTGTTTAGTGTTAGTTTTCACGGTGTTCATTCCGCAGCATTGTTGAATGCTAGACATCAAAACAAGTAAAACACATACAAATAAGCGCTTCGCCACAGTTTCCTTTTCCGGTGAAGACCATCTGCATGTTCCATAAAAATGACTTAGGAGCTACTTTTCGGAAGTCTAGTGGCCTGCACTAGAAACATGGACTACATGTTTCAGGCAAAAGTAAGTCTAGCTAGCTGTTTCTCACTCAGCCCATCCTGGTTCTTTATTCAGTTCCTTGTGTGCACTTGTGGCGTATCGCTTTCAAAAGACGTGCTCTAGCGTTCGACCCTGGCATACAGAGAAGTGAGATTTAGAAGATTTCATTGAGGTCCGGACGAACATGAAAGGTGCAATCTTCGGGAGCAGCCAAGTGAAATGGTTTTGCCGCGACCGTTTGTTTTTAGATAAGTGCATACAAGTGTGCACATTTAGCTTCTCAGGAGCGACGGTTAGGCTCTCAAGGAGAACATAAGCGGGTTGCCTCTCAATAAGTTGGACTTTGCGGTAGTCTACGTAGGTGGAAACAACCTGCAGTATGGCGACGGGGGTCAGCGGTGGTCAAAGAAGTTGTGGTAAGTACATGCCAGCATGGTTGTAAGCTATGGAGAACAGTATGCTGATTTTTGGAGAAGTGCGGTTAGGGAAGCTCGTTTTAGTGAACGCCGTTTTCGCGACAACAGTAGGTTGGATCGCCGTTTCGAGGAAATGCGACCGCGGACATGCTAGCCTAGCTTGCCGAACCCTAACCAACACTTGGAGATCCACGATCGAGCTTATATTAAATTCTCCCCGATCAACAGCAAGGGGTCACCGCACGAAGCGCGGTCTGTTTGGAAGCCTAGCTTGCCGCCGCCTACAAGCAGCATTTCTTGAACGGAGGCCTCGATAAAACATATCCATTTTCGCTAAACCGTGCTTCGATAAACCATACCTCTTGGGCTAAAACGAGCCTCGATAAAACGGCGTTTTATCAACTGTAGTAAACCCGCTTTTTTTTTTGGACACCTTCAATAGTCATTTGAAGCAAACATCAAAGTTTGTTGTGCAAAACGAAAATCATGCAATGCAACTATCTCAAGGTCTTGTTAATTTAGTTTTATACTAGATCCCAAAGAAAAACATGACGTGTCTACATATTTTGGCTAAATTTCATATTTTCGTGTTCTTTCTACCGAGAAATGCTATTACAATTTTCCGATGATTCAATAAGTGTGCGTGTTTTTGCAAAGTACAGCTAGCATCTGGACTTTGCTTTTAGGAACTGCCCTATAGCTCAGGCAAAGAGCAGATTCCGTGTTCTGTGACAAGCTCATACCGTAACTCCGGAAGAGGGCAGTTGACTCCGAAGTACTGTTCTCTAACAAGGCACTGCCACATGCAATAAAGCGCACGAAGGAGCAGAACTTGGTCATCTTTACTGTGGATGTAAGCTTGTATCTTTCCGAGTTGCCCTTTCCCATAAAATCACTCGTCTCTTGCAAAGGCAAGATTGTTAGATGTTCTAAGCAACTAATTAGATGAAAATATAGCAATCATATGGCATACTAACTCTATCATTTGACCTACCATAACACTATTGAGAGGAGTTTACATGCAATTCTGTTCAGTCTAACCAAATTACGCCTACTTTTTGACACATTACATTCAAGCGAATAGCGGCATTGATTTTCACAAATGGTAAAGTACATCTGCATGAGCCAGGAGAAGCAGTAAAAATATTTTTATAATCTT